TACATTGCTTCTTACATAACTTCTAAAGATAAGGTAAGCTCTTGAAGTGAACAAAACTTCATCATGACTAAGCTTTTACAAGTGTAAAATTTCACTAAGTATGGAAAACTTTACTCAAACTAAGTGAATACGCGAGCAAAAGGTTTACTAAGCGTATGACACTTTCTTTACACTTTGCTTTGGAAACATTGAACAAAGAAACTTTACAACTCTTTTATGGACAAAAGAAAGTAAGGAAAATATTCTTTGAAATACTTGGCATTGATAGGGCCAGTTCTGAATCCATCGTCTACTCTTGTCAACTTGTAGTATCCGCTGCTGTTTGCCTTAGTAACTTTGTAGGGGCCTTCCTATCTGGGTGAGAACTTAGGAATTGGTTGCCCCCGCATGATCGCATCCACTATTTTCGATACTAAGTCCCCTTCTTTCAATTTTCTGTTTTGAACAGATTGATTATAGGCGCGAACTATGGATTGATGATACTTTTTCATTGTTTATGAGGCCCGATCTCTTCTTTCTTCAGTCGCCTCTATGTTATTCTTCCTGCTGTATGGAACTAAGTGTGCTGACGTAGCCATTCTTGCAGAGGGTACTGCTAACTCAACTGGTAATATAGCTTCAGACCCATACACTAGGGAAAATGAGGTTGCTTGAGTTGGCTTCCTCTTTGACGTTTTATACGCCCAGAGTGCTATGGGGAGTTGTTCAGACCATGTGCCCCCTGTTTCATCCATCATCTTACTCAGTATTCGGATGAGGGTTTTGTTGGTCGCCTCTGCTTGTCCATTCCCTTGGGGATATTATGGACTAGACTTGTGATGCTTAATTTGGTAGGCATTCAGCAGTCTTCCCATATGGCGATTTACAAAAGGAGTTCCATTGTCAGACAACATCACTTTTGGTATGCCAAACTTGCAGATTATGTTCTCTCTGATGAAGTTGGCCACTTCTAAATGAGATGTCCATATAACTGCTACCCTCCTTGATGCTCTGCCTTGTGGGCTTCCCTCAACACCTCATTTGCCTTATCTTTTGATAAGCACGCTAAAGGTTTCCCTTCGAAGCTTCTTCGATACAACTTGCCCTGGTTAAGGAAGAAGCGGAGGGCTCGCCTCTTAACTCTGATTGCATCAACTTTATTCTCAAGCAATGTGCTATTTCCCAGGTAGTCGATATATGGCTGCCTCCATTCTTTATTGCTTAAGAAATGGGCTTCCTCTTCCTTAAGATGAGACTGACACTTTGCACATTGCCTCTGCAACTCAGTACTTTCCTTCTCCATCTCTGGGTAGTAATACCCTTGTCTCTGTATTCGTTGGTATAGACTGATATCTCCATCTCCACAGGACTTAGCATGGATCTGCTTAAGTCTGTAAGTTGCTTCTTTTCTACCAACGCATCTTGCCAGCAAGTTGTTGGGACCGCGAAAATACAACTCTCCTCTGAGGAGGAGAAATGATGCAAGCTTTGCTGATCTGATTGTTCTTTGGCCTGTTTTCAACTGTTGGATTATATCTGCTTTCCACCCCTCAGCGTCTTACTCTGCATGTTCTTCGGTTAGCACAGCTGGTGTTGTTCTTTTCTCAATGACGATGACTATACTATCATCTAGTATCTCCACCTTAGCCCCCAGTGTAGCCAAGGCATCGGGGAAACAGTTATATGTTCGAGGGGTATGCTGAATTTGGACATCATCAAATTGAGTGAGTAGCCTTTGAAATACAGTGCGATATGGGGCCAACAGGGGCTCCTTCAAAGCGAAATCATCCATCGTTTACTTAACAACTAACTTGGAGCCGCCCCAGATTTTTAACCTGTAGAGGCCCTTTTTTTGGGTAGCTATTAGGCCAGTAGCAACGCTTCATATTCGGCCTCGTTGTTTGAACACTCAAAGTCAAGCTTATATGATAGATGAAACTTCTCTCCTTCTTGACTCGTTAGCGTTACACCAGCTCCACCTTTCCCAGCTCCGAAAGCTCCATCAAACTTTAAGTCCCAATAAGTCTCAATTGTAGCGGTTGAGACATGGACCTCACCTGGTAGAGGTACCTCTGTAGGTTCATTTTCACCAAATGGGAACTGGACAAGTAAGTCTGCAAGTGCTTGGCTCTTAATAGCCTTGGGAGTAACACAAGTGATATTATATTCTGCTAGAGCCAAGAGCCATCTTGCCATTCTCCCAATCAGAGCGGGCTTGCTTAGCAAGTAGCGAACTGGATCACTCCGGGTCACAACCTGGATCGGGTGTGCCAAAAAGTAATGACATAACTTCTGCGCTGTGAAGATTAAGGCTAAGCAATGCCTTTCAATTAGGGTATATCGCGACTTGGCACCATTGACTTTGCGACTGATGTAATAGACTGGTTTCTCAATGCCATCTATGTCTTGGACAAGTAGGGCTCCAATAGACCGCGGAGTAGAGGCCAGGTATAGTAGCAGAGGCTTTTCATGTTGTGGGGCAATCATTGTAAGTGGAGAGGTAAATGGTTGCTTCACCATATCAAATGCCTGTTGGTGTTCATACAACCATTCAAACTTGTGATTCCCTTTCAGCAGTGTCCCAAAGGGAAAGGTTATCTCAGCAAGGGCTGGAATAAACCTCCTGAGGTATGACATTTTCCCTAGGAATTCTTTCAGAGCTTTTTGAGAGTGTGGTGGAGGCATCTCCATGATTGACTTGATCTTGTCCCCATCTACTTCAATCCCCCGTTGGTGTATAAGGAAGCCAAGGAAGTTGCCGGCAGTAACTCTAAAGGCACACTTGAGAGGGTTCATCTTGAGGCAGAATTTGCGACAACGCTGAAAAACCTTTTCCAAGTCGCAGAGGTGGCGGTTTGCCTTTGTAGACTTGATCACAAGATCATCTACATATACTTCCACTTCATGATGCAGCATGTCATGGAACACTGCAGTCATAGCCCGTTGGTAGGTTGCCCCTGCATTTTTCAAACCGAAGGGCATTTACCGTATAGAAAAAATTTCCCAGGGGTGTTCTGAAAGCTGTCTTTTCTGCATCTTCTGGTACTATTTTGATTTGGTTATAACCACTGTACCCATCCATGAAAGAGAACATTTGATGGCCCACAGTTGAATCAACGAGTGTATCAACATGGGGCAATGGAAACTCATCTTTCGGGCAAGCCTTATTCAGGTCGCGAAAGTCTACACAGACCCTGATCTGACCATTCTTCTTCTGCACAGGAACAATATTTGCTAGCCAAGTTGGATACTATATAGGCTCAATGAACTTAGCCCTCTGTAACGTTTCTATCTCTATTTTAATCTTTGCTTCAAGATCGGGGTGATACTTTCGAGCATGCTGCTTGACTGGTCTAGAGTTGGGAAAAGTGTCCAGATGATGAGTGACAAGGGATGGGTCAAGACCAAGCATCTCATCGTATATCCAAGAAAAGACATCACTGTATTGCTTTAGTAGTGTTATCAATTCCACCTTAGCCGCTGGAGCCATTGTATCACTGACAAACACCGGCTTGCTCTACCCAGGTAAGGCACTGAGATTGACCTCAGCAAGTACCTCATGCTGGGGTTTGGGCCTATCTTGCATGCATTCAGGGGCGAGCTCAAGCGTCTCCACCAACCCTTCTTGGGACTCATTACCGTCACATTTATTTGTCTCAGGGCTATCCTCCCAAGGTATGAAGTTTGGTCCCCAAAACTGTCAAAGGTAGTAAACTGTCTTGCCGCCCTCGCGCACCTTGACCATCTTGGGCGGAGGACTTGTGGATTTGCTGCTCCTTTTCTGTCCACTGCTTTCTGGAGTAGCCTCTACATCTCGAATGCTTTCTCACTTTGGCAATTTTACCACTGTAATTTTGCCAGTCCTTGGAGTTTCATCCGTTGACAACTCAGTAAAGAAAACTGCATCCGAATAGTGTGCCTCTTCCACTCTGAATGGCTTTTCAGACGCATTTATGGTAACTGTGCATTTTTCCAACTTTGCCTTCACACATTGGTGATAGTTGGACGGGATAGCCCTATATCGGTGCATCCAAGCTCTGCCAAGTATCATGTGGTAATTTGTATCTGCTTCAATCACATGGAATTTAGTTGCGGAACAAATTTCGTTAACTGCTAAGTCCACTACAACATGGCCTTTAGTGACCTTTTTCTCACCACCAAAATCGATTATACTAATGGGTTGGCGAACCATTCTGGACTCCAGGATACCAGCTTTTGCAAAGGTGTCAGCTGTAATGATGTTTATGGACGCCCCACCATCGAGGAAAGCACGCTTGAACTCTATATCATTAATATAAACTATGACAAAAAGAGGACGGTTATGAGGAAATGGGTATGCTCTGTCTACTTCTGAAAAGGTAATGGCCCTATAATCTTCCTGGATGCGTCGAGGCACATACTCCTTCAGCAACTTCAGCATGGTGCACTTCAGAGATGTTGATGAGGGCCTTTATTGCTTCTATCCTGGGGGCTTGGCTCAACCCCAGTTGGTTAAAGAAGGTGCGAAACTTAATAGAATTTTGCAAGGCTTGAGCATGAGTATCCTCTACGAATCTCGCCTCTTCAGGTACTGTTTCAGGGAGCTGGCCAGTTACAATTTCTTCTAACTCATCATGGTAGGATGCCATGTGCACTTGATCGCGCACAGGCCCAAGGTAGCCGATCATGTGTACATTTTTCTCCTTCTCTTTGTGGTTAAGATAAGGGTCCTTCTGTACGTCACGATTACTAGCATCTTTGAACTTTAGCTCATTCGCGTCAACTTTCTTCTTGAAGATATTTTTTAACGACCAACAATCCCTAGTAGGGTGCCTGGTGGTTCTGTGATAGACACAATAATCTGGGCTTTTTTTGTCCTTCTTGGTTGGAGTAACATCAACCAGAGGCAAAGTAAGTTCACCATCAGCGACCCATTCTTTAACCAAGGCCTTAACATTCTCAAGGCTACAAGGATATGGATTCCTATCCTCATAACTCTTCCTCTTTTGAGAGGACGGGGCCTTTGCTTGCGAGTGGCTCCCTCATGTGGAGGTTATCGCAAAAACTCTACTACTGCGAGAGTAGCGGTGGCTGTTGCGAGATTCGTGTAAAGGACCAGTGGTACTGAGATTTCTAGTTGCCTCAATCAAGGCTGAAAAGGTAGGCAGATTATGGTTCACCAAGAAAATTTTGTAGTTGCGTATGGCACCCTCCACACATATGCTAACTAAGTGAGCTTCATCTACTGGTTCATGACAGTCAATAGCCTTGTCTTGGAACCACTTAACATAGTCCAATATATCTTCACCTTCTTTTTGGACATCTCGCCCAAGTGTGAAGGTTGTGACTTTCTCTTGGACTTGGAAGAATTTCGTGTGGAAGTTGTTCACCATCTCCTCCCAACTCTTGATCAAGTTGGGAGCCAAGTTCACATACCAACTGCAAGCCCTTTCAATAAGTGATTTGGAGAACTCTCGAAGGCGCAGAGAGTGGTCACTGTCATGGACACCAAGAGTTTCAATGAACCTCGCCACGTGTTCTCTGGCATTGCCTTGTTTTCCATCAAACTTAATAAATTTGGGCACTGTCTACCCAGTTGGGTAGGGCATGGTCAATATCTCTTGAGAGTATGGGGGTTTCACATCTGGGTCGGGGAGAGATGGTAGTTACTTCTTGCTACGCTCTTGCTCAAGCATAGCTTATACATTGGCTAGGGTAACAAAGTGAGTGGGCTGGAATAGTCCAGTCTGCTCCTGGATAGCTAAATCAATGACTGTACCGTTCGCTTGAGGTACCACCAGAGGCACCTGGATTGGAGCTCGAGCTGGTCTAGAGGCCATGGCCATAATAGCCGCAGTGAGAGTTTGCAAAGCTGCCAGAATCTCCCTCTGCATATCCTGTTGTGACTGAACTGCCTCAACAATAACATCGTGGTCATGGTCCTTCGTATGTGCTTCTCCGCCATTGGAAGAGCCTTGCTGCCGTGGGAGTTGCTGAACTTCATCCTCTACCATCTTTTCCAGTGAAGTGTGTAAGCCACTGCGTGTATAAACCATCAACAAAGCGGCCTCCCCAGCAGAGTCGCCAAAAATGTAAGAGGGTTCAAGGTTAGAGAGGTGATTAGAGAGGCAGAACTATGCTAATGGTCCAATAATGGCGGAAGTGGCTGGAGAATAAGTAACAACAACTGTGTGGGAGTTGGAGAGTGTGTAGCTAGGTGAGGGTGAAGCAAGTGGCTCAAGAAAAAGTGTATAGCAGTGCTAAAATGGGTAACATCTCCCCCAAATCCCCAAAATTTCTCCTCTTGAACCTTGGGAAATGGGTCATATTTATAGGCTTTTCCTTGGTACCAAGAGGACACCAAATGGCCAAATGGAGAGAAAACATGTGTCTTAGAGGATCACATGGAATATTCTGCCTTGAGCCACTAGGCTGAAGGTGCCACATGTCCCTCTGCGTGTATTGTGTACTATCTGTTTGCCTTTACAACTACCTTTTCAAACCTCAGCAACTGTAGTTGCGTCGGGAGTGTTTGGCACGGCAACTCCCTTTTTGGGCCTCAACAAGTGCACTTGCAGCGGGAGTGTTCGCCTCTGCACTTGCCTTCTCAGCTTGAATCTCAACAAGTGCACTTGCAACGGTGAACCTCGCCGTTGCACTTGCCTTCTCAGTTCTATTTGGCCAATACATGCATTCTTAGGACTCCATTAGTCTGTTATCGACTATGTTCATGCTCACCTCAGCGAAGCCTCCACCCTTAGCCACCTAACCACAAACTCCCCAATTTCCCAGGGCAAAGGCCACAGCCAGGCCTGCTATCAGCCATGCTGTGCCTTAGTACCAAGCCCAAGGGGGCTTCCTTAGTCCTGCCTATGCGACCAAGGCAGGTCCATGACCTGGGTAATGGAAAGGGAGTCCCTTATTCTCGGGCTGCCCTACTCCCATCTTTGCGGGGTTGCCGCGGTAAACTGGTATTTCTGAGCCTGCTATCAACACCAAGTTAAATGAACTGTGGGGCCGGCTATTAGCCCTAGGCCAGTAATGCCTTGGGGCCTGCTGTCAGCGCTAGACATTAGCCTCTACTTGCAGAGGGAAGCCTCTCTTAAAGGCTGCTATCACCTTGGCAGGATAGTCTCTCTGCAACTTAGTTTCTGCGGTGGTAGTTGGTGCGGTAGTCATTTCCCGCGGCAAGTTCAGACAGCATGACCGAAGATATTAGAGATGGCGGTGGCACTGAAGATACTTGGAATGACGGCGCTAAGACAAATTGCCTCAGTAACTTTGCCACTGCACATGTTCCCTCGGCAACATTAAATGGCGGCAGAACCGAAGTTAATAGGAATGGAGGCGCTGAGGCAAAGTGCCTCAGCAACTTTGCCGCTGCAAATGGTCCATTGGCAACTTCACCGCTGCAGATGTTGCCTCTGCAACTTGACTTAGGCATTTCTCCTCGCTGAGTCCATCTGGAGCCCTGGTGGGTTGGACTTGCCTCGGCCCATTTGTTGGCACGCTTCCCTTGAGCTTTAGCCCATGCTCCTTTTTTATCCTTGGTCGCATTCTCAGGACGATCTTAGTGCTTGGGTCCATGCTTAGTTTTGGGCTTAATTTCTGACCCTCTACATATAGATATTAATCATTTTGAACCTAGTTGATTGAACTCATCTTAAAATTATATTTTTATAAACTCATAATGATTTTATTGGAGGACCTAACATATTTTCTTAGGCTTTGTTTGGCTATGTCTTTTTATTTTATTTTATTTATTTATTTATTTTAAAAGCCCATTTCATGATACACTTTAATGGCTTTTGGAACACTGCTTATTTTGGTAACTAGTTTAAAAGTCAACCTTTTAAATCACATTTTTTTGATTCACCTCATCTCTTGCCCTTTACGTCTCAGCACCCTCTAGCCATATCTACCGGATGGAGACGCGTGGTGATGACAAATCTGACGCTGAGGAGGGAGGCACGTCTGTGGAGTTCAAGAGCCAAACGACATGACGTTGATTTCTGCTGTTTTGGCCAAACGAAAGGTAAGTGACAGGAACCCTTCATCCGCTCTTCTTCTCTAGACCAGATTGAAAACTCAACCTCTCTCTCATTAGACTTACATTTTCAGATTTGGCCTCTTTCTTCTCCATCAGCAAACCCATCGGTGGCGGTGGAGGGCTTCCGGTGTTCCTTCTTTGCATTGACATGTTGCTTTGTTTACCCAAACACATTAGAAGCCCTAGATCCCTAAATCTCCTCAATTGACAACCAAAAAAAGGTCAGATTTTTGTTTTCTTTTTCTTTTTCTTTTTTCTTTTTTATAAATCCTCCCCACTTAAAAAGCTATGTGATTATTTTGTTTTGTTTTTTGTTTTTGTTTTTTTATTTATAAATCCTCTCTGTTTAATCCCCATAATGAAAAGCTGTGTGATTATGAAAATAGACTTGCCGAAATGCTTTGTGATTTTGAAAAAATGGACTTGTTGAAATGATTAATTGAAAGCATATGTGATTCCGCCTAGACTTACATTTTGCATTCCAAATGTATGATAAAATGCCTCGATGAAATTCTTTGTGATTTTGAAAAATGGACTGCTTTGACATGTGAAACAACAACAAAACTTCTTTTTACATATATATGAAATATGTATAGAAATGTATAAATGCTTCAAAACATGATGTTAATGGTTGTCAACTTTAGTTGATTAAATTAAGTAAGGAACTGGTGGATTCACATGATATATTAATTAATAATACAATACATATATATTGATAATTTTGATTATCATGATGAAGGCTTGGTTGTAAAGCTTGATGACAAATTAAAAAGTTTGAGCAATTTAGACCTTGAAATAGAATTTGTTTCTTTAAAAGGTTTTTCTTTTTGAGTTATGAGAGTTGTATTCAAACTGGGGAATTGGGTTATCTTTCTGGTTTTTTATTATTTTTTTATTATTATTTAAAAAACAAAGTTATGACTTGTGGCTTTGTGATGCATAACCATTAAGAGCATGTTTATTTGGTGGGATTGAAGGGTGAGATTGGATTAATAGTCTGTTGTTTGTTTCAATTTTTTTGCACCGAATTATTAATCCCAAATCTGTTAGACTATTGTATCCTATGGGAGGGGAGACACAAATTATGAGATAACTTATCCCATGGGATTAGGTCATCAAATTACATTATTGACCTTCTAGTATTAAATATCTTTTTCCTCAAGGTATTAATTATACTTAATAAAATAGTCTCAATTTAAAAATAAAATAATTTTATTTAATTTTTATTGATGTTTTATATATTTAAAATTTTATAATAATTTTTTATAGATATTTTATTGACGTTTTATTTTAAAATTTTGTTGATATTTTATTTAATTTCATTATTTAAATTTTAATTGATGTTTTATTTAATTTCATTATTTAAAATAAATTTATTTAAAATTTTAATTAAAAAAATAGCATATATTTTTATTGATATTTTATTTATTTAATTTATTTAATTTAAAAAAATTATTTAACTGTGTAAAAAATAAAATAAAATAAATTTTTATTAATCTAGCTAAAAATAATTAAAATATTAAAAATATGTTTAATATTACTATTACTTAGTAAATAATTGAAAAGGGTAAAATAGTCAATTAAGCATTTATCGTTCTCCATAATATCCCAAACAAACATAGGATTCATATCCTATCCAATTAAATAATCATTTCCTGACATCTAATGCCATGACTAAACAAATATGGCATATATATCCTATCCAATCAAATAGTCCCAGGATTATGAATCTCAGGATTACAATCCAATGGATTCTAATCTCTCTTATTCAATCCATCCAAACAAACATGCTGAAATATGTGGGATATGTGTCTGACATGTCTAGTTGGGCATGCGCCCAACAAGTATGTATAAATAGTCAAGTTTACTAAATAACTATGCATAAATAAGATGTCCATTTTATGCATAGCATGATCTATATTAGTTTGTAAATATTATTTTATCCTATAAAAATGTACTCAAGAAACATGACATCTGGACGCGTCGTGGTGTCCTTGGACATAAGAATTAGATGAATCTGACACTTTTGAAACATCCGCACTTGACACCCATGACCGAGTTCATGGAAGTTACTCATGTGGAATCTGCAAATCTGCAGTCCTCACATACTTGTATGACAGTTTTAAAAGAATTAACAATCATACGGCATTATTAGCTTCTATGGTGTACGTAAGGCTGGTTTGGTCCATATAAGAGCTAAACATTAGAATGAAAGCATAGTTAGTTTTGGCATGCCAAATGATTTAAACTTCAATGGATGACAATGTTTAGGTATATGTAAAACCAGTGTCAGTTTCTAATGATATCTCATTATCACCTACTTGTTAAAATTCTCCTCTATTTTAGTAGTTTGCAAAGCTATACTTAAAACCAATAAATCAGTTAAGTGTATATTATGTGATGCAAAGATACCAGAAATTAAGGTAATCTTAGTTTCTTACCTCCCTATGGCACTATATGCTTTTGAAAGGTTCTGATATGACTCAATTGTATCCACATGACCAGGACCAAGGGATGCATCCATAATCTCCTTGGCTACTGCAAACATCTGTGCAACTGACTGAGGCCTATCTAGTTCCAAACATAGTTGTCAAATCGAGATTCGTATCGTGAATCGAAATGGCCTCGTACCGAATCGCGAATCGAATCGAATCGTGAATCGTAAAGATTCGGTCACTTTTTCTAAATTACTTAAAAATATATATCTACACATTTAGATGTTAAATATATCTTATGAATATAAAATATTTAGACTTAAATCAACAAAATTGTTATTTTGAAAGATAATCACGTAATTTAATAGGTAAGAAGTTAACAAAGATTCCTATGTAAAATCACAATCTTACCTTTTTTTTTTATTTTTTAGATATTTTTTATCAATCATTCTTAATAAAGATAAAAGCCAAATAGACAAACTATTAATTTCTAAAGTAACAATAGTTAACAATGATATTGATATTTGGACAATAAGCATATATACTTTTCTAAGTAAGAGTGAGCAAATAATAAGAAAGGATTATTTAGGATATTTTATTTTAAAGCCTAAAACATTTTAAAAGGTATAACTGACCTCACATATGTAATATTCAATTTAATAAAATAATAATAGATAATTCATAGTATAACTTTAATCTTAAACATCTTTAGAAGATATATTACAATTTTTTGAAGGGGAAAAAAATGAGAAGAAATGTTAAAAATATGTTAGGTCTGACTGAATCTGATTGGATCTTATAAAAAACTCCATGATCACTAAAATAATAACAAATCATATATAAATGTTGATTATTTTGGTATTAAATGTTATTAGATGTTGTATTATATCATTTTCACTAAAAAGATGGAAAAAATGAGTCAAAAATATGTCGAACACAATAATTTTAAAAATTGCATGAATCGTAAAAAGTGAATCGAATCGTGAATCGATTGTGAATCGTGCGATTCACTAGAGATTCACTTCCAAAATAGATTCACTCATAGATTCGTATCGATTTTGCAAAAATTACGTATCGAATCGTGAATCGAATCGCGAATCGTAAGATTCTGATAACAGAGGTTCCAAATATGCCGCACCCAAGTTGTTATAAGTATACCCAACCCCATAATGCTTGGAACCAAAGCACTCTTTCAGTCTCTCTGCTGCACTCTCCAAGTAGGGTATAGCCTCCTGCACCTTGCCTGTTAATAGAAGCAACTAGCCAATACGTGCAGAAACACTTTCCTTCTGAGTGTTGCTCTTGAGGGAGCTTCTCAAGTATAGCTTGTGTTCTCTTTGGCAACGCAATTGCAGTTTCAAACTATTCATAGTCTCATATTGCATCGGTATCTCCATATATGCCTCAGAAACTTCTACTGGAGAGTTTGCTTCTTTCTTATCAAGAATCCCAGAAGCAATCTGTAGTCACATTTTTGAGTCAGCAAATTTCTCTTGATTACATAAAGCTTTCGCCATCAAAATGAAGACCATAGCTCGATCTTCACTTTCTTTATCAGTCTGCTGAACAATGTCCTTCAAAGTATTGATGGCCTCCTCATACTTCCCCAATGCAATCTGAATGTTGGAGGCATCAATCTTTGCCCGAAGCAAATTAGAACTAAGACCCCAATTCTTCAGTACCTTATGTGATAACTGATTCTGATCCAGTGCCTTTTCATGCTCCTCCAACCCAGTATAGAAAACCCCAAGAAGCTGCTTGTCATGCGCGACTTCCACCGAATTATTCCCCAATTGTCCCTTATGTATCTCCAATGCTTTTAAACAAAACGGCAACGCCTCTTGAAAATTCAAAACAGCAACATAAGCCACTACCAAATCCCGATTAGCATTACCAATTTCCCTACTGTTTTTCTCCAAAGTCATTTCTTTTATCTCCAAACAATTCCTTAAATTAACAAGAGCCTCCTCTCTCCTTCCCATTGCAGTCTTGCTATTCGCCAATTCAAGCTGAACTGCGTGAAGAATCGGTCTAATATCATCAAGACTACAAGAACCTTTTAGCCCTATTAAGCTATCCTAAACTATCATTACACCTTTTCAAGCTATAACAAGCAGAACCCAACAATTGTAAAGCCATGGAAAGAGGTAAAGACACTCTATTATCATCTCTATCCAAAGCTTTCAAAGCTCTATTAGCAAAAGAAAGAGTCTTTTCAGGGTCCTCACCTTTTTGGTCAAGTTTGAGGCCGAGTTTCAAGCAAGCCAATCCAAGTTCCCTCTCATCAAAACTTGCCTCCATGTCCTTGAATGCTTTGAGCATATCTTCAGTGGTCTTGGCAGCCTCAAAAGCCTCATCTATTTTTCTTATGGAATAATGGTGGAGTTCTGGAATAAAGAATTATGATAGCAACAAGATAGAGAGAATATGGAGAGAATTTACATTGCCTTCTTTATTGGCTTGAATGCCAATTTATAGAATACATATTGTATATATAGACAAAAATCAAAAGTTATGGCATATTTACCTTACGTCCAATTTCTACAACTTTTGACAAAACTTTACAATTTTTTGACAAAGTCTACAAGCCTAGGCATATGCTTATACAACATTTCCACAAAATTAAATACAAAGACAAAAAGTCATAAATGAGAGACTTTAATTATTTGTCATCTTTATACTACAATTATGATAAAGAGTTTGCGCCCGTGCTGTGTGGTGATTTAACTCCCATCATCAAAACTATTGATGAATCATACTGGATTTATAAAATTTTAGAAGAAAATTTTAGTGAACATCCATTAAAACTATGGCAACGTAACTCACGTTATTGTAGTTTAAAATTGAAAGGCCCTAATGTTATCATTAGAGTAAGACCAATGATCTATACTAGACAAGATATAGATGAATTTGATATTCAACTTCAGGAACTTTTAGACAAAAAGTTAATTGAAGAAACTAGAAGCCCTCACGCTAGTCCAACTTTTATGGTAAGAAACCATACTGAAATTAAAAGAGGAAAAGCCTGAATGGTAGTCAACTATAAACGGCTAAATGAAAATTTAAAATTTGATGGATATTTTATTCAA